ATATATATATATATATATATATATATATGTGTATATATATATGTATGTGTATATATATATATATTTCTTTTAATTAGTGCTGGGCAAGTTAAAGCATTATTATCGCGTTAATGCATTAATTAATTAACGGCAACAATTCTATTATCGCGCGTTAACGCAGTTTTTCTTATTATTAGGCGGACAGACTCCAGGTTCCATGTGTTTGCAAACCAAATGTTATTGACCTTTTGTTCATATAGCAGTACTTTTAAAATAAAAGTGCGCAATACACTACTTTTGAATTCATTATTGAACTTTGTGCATAACAATGCGATTAATCGCAATTAAAAATTTTAATCGTTGCCCAGCACTAATTTTTATATATACATATGTGTCGTGTTCGTCTCTGTGCAGTTCTACGCCCCTTGGTGTTCATTCTGTAAACAGCTGGATCCGGTTTGGCATCAGATCGGATCAGAACTCAGGAGTCTCGGCTCTCCGGTCAACGTCGGGAAATCAGACGCCACAGCCAGCACCGGTCAGTAACACTACCAAAATAAAAGCATCAAAATAAAAGCATCATCACAATGCTGTTTGTATATAACGCGTTGAACATGCTGATCAGAATGAAAGACTTGAAACTAGAGATTGAGACCATAAACTCATGTTTACAATGTTTACTGAGGTAATAAATCAAGAGAGAAGTAGAGTCATTTTCTCATAGACTTCTATACAACCAGAGGAGTCGCCCCCTGGTGGACACTAGAGAGAATGCAACTTTAACACTTTATAGAACTGGAGGTTGACTCCTGGTAGAAACTGATTCTCACTCTTCACTCCCACCATGTGATCAGGTTGTGTTTCTCTCTGCAGGTTTGGCAAAAGAGTTTAAGGTCCGAGGTTATCCAGCCATCCTCATGTAAGTCCTCAGAACAACTATTAATAATAGTGCTGGGCAATGATTACAATTTTTAATTGTGATTAATCGCATGATTTTCTGCGATTAATCTCATTGTTATGGCAAAATTCAATAATGAATTCAAAAGTAGTGTATTGTGCACTTTTATTTTGAAAGTACTGCTATATGAACAAAGGTCAATAACATTTGGTTTAAACACTTTAAACACATCAGGTTCTTGTTAGCAGCAGTATTCTCTTTACACAGCAGCAGTTATAACACAGTTATAATGATTCTGATCACAGATATTCAGCCGGTGTTCATAACTTTATCTTCATGTGTGTAAGAGATATTTAAATATACTTCTTGAAAACTGCAAACCTGTCTACGTCATGTTTCTATGTTTGTTAAATTATCAGTAGTGATCACTAAATGATGCTTATTATACATATTGCAAACAAAACACTTTAAAAACTCTAAAATAATAACTTAAATGAATCATTTCTTTTTGTTGGTATTTAGGTCAGACACATATGCAACGCTGATTACCGTAATATGTGTGGTATTTGTTATAAATGTACGTTGGTACATAGAGGGTGATAAGAAGCTGTACATGGAGTGCCTTAGGACCCAGGGGAATGTAGGTGAAGGAAACAGGAAGAGACGGAAGAGATGCCACACAAACGGCTGTTCACCGCTCGCTGCTGGTTCTTGTGTTAAAAATGTCCGCTTAATAATAATTTAAAAAAACTGCGTTAATGTGCGATAAAATAATTATCGCCGTTAATTAATTAATGCGTTAACGCGATAATAACGTGTTGCCCAGCCCGTAATATATAGCCACAAATATATATGTATATATTATAACATATAAAGCGTAAATAAACGTCTGTTCCATTTTCAGGTTGAAGAAAGATGTGAAATATAATTATTCAGGACCAAGAACCAAAGATGGAATCCTGGACTTTGCTAATCGAGTTGGAGGGTAAGAACCTGTAACCAGTGTGGAACTAGCATGCAAACATTAGCTAGCTAGCATGCTAACGTTACACTGGTTACAGTAAATGACCGAGTCAAGTCAATTAATGCAGATTGTTGTCATGACCTTTAGTATAGATCTGATATTAAACATCACAGCAGTCAGTGTGACGTCACAGCAGTCAGTGTGACATCACAGGTCTGACCGTCTATGTTGTGTCGTTCAGGCCGCTGGTTCGATCTCTCATCAGTCTGCAGCTCTTCCAACACGCCATAAACCGCCATGATGTCATGTTTGTTTATGTTGGAGCTACATCACAGCTGAAGGTACACACACACACACACACACACGCGCACATCTATACATTACATTTACATTACAGTCTGTAAGCCACTGGGGGGGGCGAATGGGAGAACTTGTTTGGACGCGTGTTCCACAAACATTTCACTGTCCAGTGCGCTGTCTTTCTTTCGATCCGTTGATCCATTTATTCCGTTTGACACCATAACAGAATACCACAGGATAATATAAGACCTTGAAACTCCACGCTGACACGCCGGCTGACACGCCACATTGACACGGTCAAAAACTGTTAGCTTCCCGTCCACACACACACACACCTGATTCTCATCACCAGGCACTTACCTATAATATGCACTTTCTGCCAATGTGTCACTCTATGTTCAATGTCCGAACTGCATATATAAATTCACCTCGTGTTACCCTCAAAAGAAAACAACAAAACCACGTTATGGCTCCAACACAGTCATTCAGCAGACTCTTTTATCCAACGCGACTTACAATAAGTGTATTCAACATCAGTATTCAAGAGAACTACTAGTCACCAGAAGTCTTGAGTGCATCTCCTTTAAACAAGCATCTAAGAGCATAAACCAGAGCAGAAATACAGAAACAAACTAATATGAATACAGTAAGTGGTGAGTGGAAGGCTCACGGTAGTACTTCTTGAAGAGGTGAGTCTTCAGCCTGATGATAGATGGGCAGCGACTCTGCTGTCCTGACGTCAGTGGGGGCCAGGACAGAAAACAGCCGCGACCGGGTCGATCGGCCGCAGGGACCTCTGAGCGACGGGGCGACCGATCGCACCAAGGCAGCAGAGCGAAGTGGTCGGGCGGGGGTGTAGGGCTTGACCATGACCTGGAGATAAGAAGGAGCTGTTCCTTTCACTGCCCTGTAGGCTAGCACCAGAGTCTTACACTGAATGAGAGCTCTTACAGGGAGCCAGTGTAGAGAACGGAGAAGGGAAGTTGTGTGAGAGAACTTGGGGCAATTGAACACCAGGCGAGCTGCAGCTTTCTGGACAAGCTCCAGAGGTCTGATGGCCGGGGCTCTGGCAAGTAGAGAGTTGCAGTAGTCCAGGCGGGAGATGACAAGAGCCTGGATGAGCACCTGCGCCGTCTCATCAGTGAGGAAGGGGCGAATCCTCCTGATGTTGTAGAGCAGGAATCTGCAGGAGCTTGTAACCGATGCAATGTTTGCTGAGAACGACAGTTGGTCGTCCAGGGTCACACCCAGGTTCCTCGCAGTCTGAGTTGGCGTCACCACGGTATCATCAATGGTGATGACAGGTCTCGGTGCGGGCAACCCTTCCCCTGGAGGAACAGTAGCTCGGTTTTGTCCAGGTTAAGCTTGAGGTAGTGTGTCGTCATCCACTTCAAGATGTCAGCCAAGCACGCAGCGATGCGTGCCTCCACTTGAGTGTCACCGGGGGTAAATGACAAGACCAGCTGGGTGTCATTGGCATAACAATGGTAAGAGAAGTCATGCGAGTGAATAACAGAACCCAGAGATGTTGTGTAGAGCGAGAAGAGTAGGGGGCCCAGAACTGAACCTTGTGGAACCCCCGTAGTCAGCATGCGTGGTTTCGACACGGCCCCCCTCCATGTCACCTGGTAGGCATCCTACCTGACAGGATCGACCTGTCAGGTAGGATACAATCGGGGAGAGTGCAGAGCCTGAGACGCCCATCCCCTCGAGGGTGGAGAGGAGGATCTGGTGGTTCACAGTGTCAAATGCCGCAGACAGTTCCAGGAGAATCAGGACAGAGAAGAGAGAGTTCGCTCTCGCTGCGTGAAGCGACTCCGTCACCGCAAGGAGGGCTGTCTCTGTTGAGTGACCCACCTTGAACCGGGACTGGTGTGGGTTCAAGAGGCTGTTCTGGTGGATATAGGAAGACAGTTGGTTGGAGACAACACATTCAAGTGTTTTGGATAGAAAGGGTAGAAGAGAAACTGGTCTGAAGTTCTTGACATCAGAGGGGTCAAGTGATGGTTTCTTCAGAAGAGGGGCGACTCTGGAAGTCTTGAAAGCAGTGGGAAAGCATCCTGAAACAAGAGATGTGTTGATGAGGTGGGTGAGGAAAGGAAGGAGTTCAGTCACAATAGACTGAAGAAGAGGGGATCGGGTCAAGGGAGCACGTGGTGGGGCGGTTAGATATAACAAGGTTGAGGACCTCGTTAGGGGAGAGGGGAGCAAGATAGGGTAAGATGGGGCATGGAGAGGGGAGGGAGAGCTGAGGGGGAAGAGCTGGAGAGGGAGAGGGAGAGGGTGGACAGTGTGTGTATGCATGCACACACACACACACACACACACACACACACACACACACACACACAC